TGAGTTGGGTGGACTCCATGACAACTGATACAGGATGAAACCTTGGGCAAGTGACTAATCTCTGTGTCCTTCAATCCCCCCATCTGCAACACAGAACAACAGTAGAGCCTCCCTTATAAGGTTGCTATGAGGCTTGTACTATACTTGTACATTTCTCAGACGTGTGTTCATGACATAAGGAAATCTGTGCCTTATACTACGTTTAAAAGGCATCCCTCGAGTTCTAGAAGTGCTGCATGGAGCTGACGGAGCCACAAGTCAAGGCTGCTACCGAACCAGGTGAAGGAAGCTTTTCTATGCAGCCCTGTTCTATTCCTCCATCAAACACTCATTCAAAGCTAGACTCAAAGCCTGTGTTTCACCCTGGGGCATAATGAGTTCCACGCTGCACAACCAGTTGCCTTTCGGCTCATTCCCATTTGGGGCAGCCCCAGGCGTGTCAGAGTAGAACTGCGCTCCACAGGGTTTTCCTGGTTGCCATCCTTCAGAAGTAGCTCATCAGACCCTTTCAAGGATCCTGTGGGTGGATTTGAACTTCCAACCTTTCACTTAGTAGCTGAGTGCTTAACCATTTGTGCCACCGAGGGACTCTAATGAGTTTAATAAACCCACATTGTTTCTTTAGAACAGCAAGTTCCTTACGTGTAACGTTTATTTAATTTACCCAGAGACTTTTCTGTTTCAAGTTCTGTTAGAATCTCCCTAGTTCCAGTGTCCCTTCATTAAAATCTATCAATGATTTTTTTTAGACTTTGATTGTGTTGTGTCATCTTGCCAGATTAGAATTCTTAATCCTTTAACACAGCCTATATACAAACTCAACACGTTTGGGGCTATTTTAAAATCGCTGTTTCTAATTCTTTCTTAGGTCATAGGTGGAGGCATGAGTGAGATGGAGGGTGGAGGCATGAGTGAGATGCAGAATGTTCTGCCCTGGGCCATGTGTAGTGCATAGGTGACTTAAGATGTTGGCCGAACCGAAAAATATATATATGATGCTCAGAATGGAGAAGCAAAGCCAAAGAAATACCATAGGATTAACCCACCTAAAAAAATAATAGTGAAGATAAAATCCAAGTACAAATAGTCCCTGACTTCCGATGCACGACAATTAGAATAAATTGCAATAGGCAGATCCAAGTACAAATAGTCCCCGACTTCCGATGCACTCCAATTAGAATAAATTGCACGTTGCATCTTTGTGGAGGAAGCTGTTGGGAAATGCTTGCAGAGGGTGTGGGGGAAATGGCAGAGTTATATGAACACAATCCGAACATTTAATCAGGAAAACATGATGGAAGAGATAGGTGGAGAAATCATCCTCATGGCAAGAGCGCTGAATTTAGAATTTGCCATCGATGATGTACAACAGCGCCTAGATTTCAAAGAAAAGGACATTGGCAGATGAAGACTTCATGGATTTGTAGAGGACAGAACTGATGAAGAAGGAAGAGATAATGAGATAGAAGAAGGAGGAAAGTGTTCAAAATTTTTTTCCAGGGAAAGTTAACAAGTTTCCTAGCCCCCACCCCCGCCCGCCCCCACCAAAAACTAAATCAGGGATTTAGTTGCACATGTTGATGGGTTTGCTAAAGTCAATAGGCAGATTCAAGAAACAGGGATATGTTACCTCGAAATACATCAAGAAAAAAAGGAAAAGACCATACAGACCCTATTGTTCTGACTAGAAATGCCATCCTCATTCCCAGGAATAATCCAGAATGTTCCACAAGTGGAATGACTACCACAAATAACAAAATATCTGTGTCAGCGAATTCTTCTTCATCACTGGAGCAAGATTCTTATAGTTTGTATATTTTGATGTATGCCTTAAAATATACCTCTAAGTTGATCTGTTTAGAGGTTCAGGCATAGCTTCGGGATAGTGCGGGTTCGGTTCCGGACCACGGCAATAAAGCGAGTGCCACTTCCCTTTTTATTTTCATGCTCGTGACCCGGTGCAGTTGGGGGCGGGGCTGCAAACCACAAGGTCAGGCTCTTCAACCCACCAGCTGCTGTGAGGAGGAAAGATGGAGCGCTCTGCTCCTGTAAAGATTGGCTCAGAAATCCCGTGAGTCAGAATCAACTTGATGCAGGGGGGGATAGTCTAATAAGCGGGCAGTGACATTTTGAAAAAGTGTGAGAATGGCCAGAAGGTGACACAAGGAACACAAAGTGGGTGCCTGCTGTTGGGAGGATGGTACCGGGGACTCGCTGGACGCAGGGTTGCCACAGACGTTCAGTCTGTGAGGAGCACAGGGAGGGAGGTGCAAGACCACGGGGTCGGCCTGTGCGGTTTCCACCGTCCGAAGACCACGTTGCTGAAGAGACTGATCAAGCCATCATAGTCATCGCAGCTTTTGAAAAATGAGGACTTTGGCGGACATCAGAGCTGACTCACAATTGTGTCATCCGAATAGAACCCCATCATAAATCAGGGACCACCTGTAGAAGTCAGAATGAGTTTAAAGGAAATTTAGAATGTCAATCGTCCCATAAAGCCGGGGATACAATTGATTGAGTTGTGAGTTTTCTAAGCATAGGACCAATGTCTTACAAAACCCCATTGCCAGCATGTTGACTCTCAAGGCAACCCCATGTATGTCAGTAAATGGGACTCATGTTTTCGCAGGCTGGTTTTTCACAAGTGAACCACCAGGCCTTTCTTCTGAGGCCCCTCGGGTGGACTCTGACCTCCAGGATTTCAGGTAACAGCTAAGCATATGAACGCTTCATACCATCAGGAGTTCCCCATTGTTTTATATTTCTCCTTTAAAAATATTGTCTTTGGTAAGTAACATAATCCTAACTACGCATACGTGCTCAATTAACACCTGTACGTTAACATTTGATTGGAACTAAATTTTAAAAGAGGCAATCTCAGAGTTTATCTATAAAAGCTTATGAACTCTCTTCTTGTGAAAGGCAGTACACTTTTAAAATCTAGACAGCTTTATAAAAAGGCTGAACTCAGAAGTACAGTATCAGTTACTCAAAAGGGAAAAATCCAAAATATCCTCGTATGAATGAGGAACATTCTACTTGATTTAAGATAACAGTTCAACCCTCCCACTTAAAACACAAGCGAGAACAAGAAACCAAAAACCTTAGAAGGACCAATTCATCTAGAAAATCCTTCATTTTACAGATGTACATACAGAGGCTCCAAGAGGTTACTTAACTTGTCCACGATCTCTCTCTCTCTCTCTCTCTCTCTCTCTCTCTCTCTCTCTCTCACACACACACACACACACACACACACACACCCCAAACTCCTCCCCCATTTCTGCAATCTTTCCTCTCCAGGGTTGATCAGGCATCAGAGCCAAACCCTTGCCATCCCCTCTGCCCTCTCAGTGGTCAGTGAACAAACCCTGAAGCTACACTTCATGGGGCTCGCTGACGCTGAAATTCAGACAACCTGATTCCCTTATACCAGCGGTTCTCAACCTGTGGGTTGCGACCCCTTTGGGGGTCGAATGACCCTTTCGCAGGGGCCACCTGAATCCGAACAGTAGCAAAATGACAGTGATGAAGTAGCAACAAACATAATTTTGTGGGTGGGGGTCACCACCACATGAGGAACAGTACTGAAGGGTCTCGGCCTGCGGAAGATCGAGAACCACTGCCTCATACTGTGCTTCCTCCCTTTCTCCTTATGAGTTGTTCATCACGTAAGTCATGTATTTTTGTCTCCTGAGATGCACACTGAAGGAAAGAGGAACTGTCCTGCTCAGAAAGGAAAACATGGAGACGAGGCAAAAATCAGAGTGGCAAGGGAGTAAGGGAAGGGCACGATGCCAAAGGTCAGTGATGGTTTTCCCAGGCCACGAGCGCTCACCTGCCCCCAGCACAGCCTCTGGTTCTTAGATCCACCTACCTTCTTTATCCCCCCCTCACTAAACTCTCTCTGCTGTTCATAATGCCCTGTGGACTGCCAAAGGCTTCATCATTGTCTTTTAATTTTTTAACTGCTCCATAGGGCTTTTAGTTTAGGTTTTTAACATTTTTATTGTGATTTAGGTGAAGGTTTACAGAGCAAATTCATTTTCATTCCACAGCTCACACACAGTTTGTTTTGTCACACGGATGGCCATCCCCACAGTGTGACAGCACTCTTCCCACTGCCTCCCTGGCTTCCCCATTTCCCTTGGGCTTTCTGCCTGACCCCTTCCTGCCATTTGAGCTTTATCCCTGAGCCAAAGCTGCCCTTTGGATCTGGGATGACTGATTGTTCTAAGGAGTGACTGGCTCCCTCGTGTTGTTCACCTTATATATCTGTGTGCTATTTGGTTCCAAGTTGAGCCACAGGGTTTCATTCCAGGCTTGAGGGTGTCTAACGGCCATGGTCTTGTGGGAGCCACCAGTCTTTCTCAGGCCAGTTGATCTTTTGGAGGTTGGGTCCACATTTTCTCCCACTCAATACAGGGCCCCCTATTGTAAACCCTTTCAGAGCCGTCGGCAGAGGCCACTGGGCACCATCTAGCTCGTCTGGGCTCAGTGTTCATTACTTCATCGGACTGATTATTTACTTGCTTTTACAATTTTCTTTACTCTTCTTTTCTCCAGATGGAAAAAGAGCAGTACCTGAGCCTTGCATGGCTGCTCACAAGATTTTAAGACCGCCGTCACGCCTCACCAAAAGAGGACATAGGATACTGTCTTGGTGGGCTGTGTCGTGCCAATTGACTGTAGTGTCCTTTGAGATGTGGTCCCGAGTCTCCAGGCCCAGTAAGTCATTCCTTCACGGTGTTCAGTTATGGCTAAGAAGTTTTCATAACTTGTCCACAATATGCTCTGCTATATTCATAAATATATTTGCAGTCCACATATAATACATTGAACCTCTGTCAAACCTGTACATATTTGTGGGGGTAGTCACATTTGTTTGCCTTCCCATCCATGTCTGGACGGAGTGTCTGTCTGTGGACCTCCTTGTGGATGAGTATCATGGCTGTTGTTGTGGGAGGGATGGTGTAGAGACCAGTGTTTGCCTTTAACACGATGCTCCTCCCAGCCTCCTTCCTTGCTTTCCTCATTTTCTGTTGACCTTCCCCCCACCACCCCCGTGACGAACTGCCTTTCCCTTCACCCACCTTCTAATTAGTGCTTTATCCCTTCTTCCTCTGCCACCCCTGTTAATCGTGAAATAGTGATTTTTTTTCTGTCTATAAATCTTTTCTTGACTTCTCACAGTCGTGATCTCGTACAATATTTGTCCTTCTGTGATTGACAAATCTCACTCAGCATCGTGTCCTCTGGGTTCATTCAAGCTGGTGCTTTTCTGGAGCTTGCATGCCGTGCAGCTAGTTTGTCTGCTCGTCTACTGATGGGCAGTTAGGTCGCTTCCACGGGTGTGCACCCCTTTCTTTGTGTCCCAGGTCTGGTGTCTCTAGACCTTATCTTAGTAGTGGGACTGCTGCATCATATGGTATTTCGATTTCCAATTTTGGGAGGAAGTGCTATTCTATTTTCCATGATGTTTGCATCGAGAGTTCTAGTCTCTCCACACCCTCACCAGCATTGGTTGTTTTCTGTTTTGTTTTTAATTTTTGCTACTAGTTCTTGGGTGAGGTGACATCTGATGGTTGTTTTGTAAGGAGTGCTCTGGGCATCATTTCTGCAATTGAATGACCCGGTTTTGTCAGCACCGTTGGTTAAAAAGGTGATCTCGTCCCTAGTTCCTGTGTTTGGGCCTTTATCAAAGATCAGCTTTCCATAAGTAGATGGATTTGCTTCTGGGTTCTCAATTGGGTTTCATTGCTCTGTGTTTCTGTCATTGTACCAGGACCAGGCTGCTGTGATCAGCCAGCATGATGGCAGGTTTTGAGATTGGGAGAAGTGAGGCTTCCTACTGGGGGTCTCTTTCCTTTCTGTAAGAAGTTTGTGATCCCTTTTTTCACCTTTAAATGAATGATGATGGGCTCTAGATTGGGATTGCTTTATAATGATAGATCCTACTGGAGAGCTGAAAATATCACCTTCAGAATAGTACAGACTTAGATGGAGATTGTCAAGAAACAATGGCTTCACATTTTGATATTCGTGTCTAATAAATTTTTCTATGATTTTATAGCAATACGTTTTGTATGTATGTGTGTATATGCATATGCATGTTCATATATGCCTGGTGTGTGTGTGTGTGTGAGAGAGCATTCATTATGAAAGTGACATTTTCATCTAAGTCATCCCAGAATAATGATGTGCTCTTCTATTGAGACCACTTCACAACAGCACTTTGGCATCATCGAGAGACTCCAATTGCATTCCCTTTCCATGTTCTTTGCATTTGGGGAACAAAAAAGAAATCTGATGTGGTGCAATCAGGCTGAAGGGTGAGCGGGGCAAGAGTCCCCAGTGAGGTTCTCATAGGCCAGCTGGCCCTAAGCTCCAGGAATGAGCAGGGCGCGGTCCTGATGTGAGAAATTCCTTGGTGCAAGTTCTCTGGGCCATTTCTCATCAATGACATTCTCCATTTTCTTAAAACATCTTCCTAATAAGCCCCCATAATCACCCTGCGTCGGTGAAGAAAACCGATCCAAATTGTCATGGGGACTTTCAAAAAGCAGTCTCCATAACCTTTTGGGCTGACCTCTCTGTTTGACTTTAAATGACCAGCAGTTCCTCGCCCCTGAGCCCTGGAGTCGCTGTATTCCAGTTGGACCTTCGGTGAAGGCCCGCGAACAAGACTAAGAGAAGTCTGTCCCTGAGAAACCTTTTCTGCAGCTGAGCACCGAGACATGTTTAGATAGGTTTTGTTTGGAATAAACCTGTGCGTGTGTGAACTGGAACCCTGGTGGCAATACTTTATGACACACATGCACACCCATGCACACACACACACACACACACACACACACACACATACACACACACCAGCCAAAGCCACCTCCAATTCTGCAATCCTTTCTTCCCTAGGGCTGATCTGTCATTAGAGTCAAAGTTCTTGTCAAGTTGGCTACTTGTGAGGTGGCCACGGGCCAAAACAAAACACGACTGGAAAGCTATAGCCTCTCCCTCTCCATCGCGGCCTCACTTTCTTAGCTCAGAGCCCCCTGCAGCTCGCTGGCAGACAGGAGACACTCATTGCTGTTGAACTCAGCCCTGGGGGTTCAGTCATCCTGGGTCAGTGCCCTTATCTTGCCGATGTTTCCGTCCTTGTGCCTCTTTCCCATTTGCACACCACTCCAGCCCACATTGGTGTCCCCACAAGATGCAAACTGCTCCCAGGCAACTGCCACACTAGAAATAGAATCAGGCAGGTCTACTATGGAGAGGTAACAGTTTATTAACATATATCAATTTCCCGGGGAATATGTGCATTTCAGTAGGTGATAATTCAAATGCCTACCTCTTGATAGTAAAATCTTAGCTGTCAGTGGCAGGCATATGGGAAGGTGAATGATGTACCCATACGAGATATCTAGCTTGATCGCTTCTCCTTCCTTCTTGTTACCTGGGTTTGGTGCATACAGGTGACCTTGCCCCAGTTATTCTACTCCTGAGCCATCTACACATCCTTAGACAGTGTCACCTTAGGGGAGACCATTAAGGCAACATTTGAGCTGTGTTAATGTTTAGCTCCTTGGTCAGAGAGTTAAAGCAGCAATGTTCGTTTGTGTGTTTGTTTTACCATTGAGTTAGTTTTATTTCATATTTACAACTTGCCTGACTCAATATGACTATGTAATTAAGTGGTCAGTTCTGAAATTGTTTTCTCATTGGGAAACTTCAAGAGAATGCACAGTTAAAACATAATTCTTAAATTACTGTTAAGAAGCCTGCCAGCCCCTTCTTTATAGAGCTCTTCTGCAAATCCGCTGCTGACTGGATAATGATAGATTGTAGGATTTAACCCTTGAAAAGAAATTCTCCCCATGAAGAGCATTTACCCTTCTAAATGACCTAAGCTCTGGGGACAGTAGATTGATGGGGTCATTATGAGTGATGGCCATTCTGGAGGCAGGCACAGGAAGATGCTGTTGTTTGATACCATGTGTTGTTCGGACTTATAGTGACCCCGTGGACAACAGAACAAAATGCCGCCCGGGCCTGCACCAGGGGCCCTCCCCATAGTTCTTATGTTTGAGCCCATTATTGCAGCCACTGTGTTAATCCGTCTTGTCCAGGGTCTTCCGCTTCTCCCACTTTACCAAGCGCGATGTCTTTCTCCCTATATACATTCTAAACCACAGAGCATCTTCGGCTGTCCAGTGAGGCACCCAAATATTCTGAGTGTCAGCCTTTCCCCCACTGAATGGACATTTAGTTCTCCCTCACCTTGAATGAAAGATCAGATCATGTTCATTGTTGTTGTTGTTTTTCTTTTTTAACATTTTATTAGGGGCTCATACAACTGTTATCCCAATCCATACACACATCAATTGTGTAAAGCGCATTTGTACAGAGAATGGGTAGGAAAGAGGGAACCGATTACATGGAACTGTGTGTGACCTCCTCCCTGGGGGACAGACAACCAAAAAGTGGATGAAGGGAGACGTCGGACAGGGCAAGATATGACAAAATACCCATTTATAAACTATCAAGGGCTCATGCGGGAGAGGGGAGCGGGGAGGGAGGGGAAAAATGAGGACCTAATGTCGGGGGTTTAAATGTTCATTGTTTTTTAATCGCACTTGGCTTAAGGGAGCTCCCCTCCCCCAACTTCCCTCTTACTCTTCTTTCCTGGAGGTGGCATGCCAAATAAAGCAGGAACCTCTCCTCCAGCAGATGGAAAGCCATTCTCTGATTTTTTTCCCCAGCACCAGCAGCAAGTTCAAGATGAGCACTTGCTTTCTAAGGAAAAACAGTACAAGTAAACCAGGCGGCTCACACAGACGGAAATCAAGCAGAAAAGACGAACCAGTGCACCTCCAATAGCCAGGCTACTTGTTAGGGTGATGGGTAGCTAAAATTGTCTTCAAAAGGCAAATCCAATTCTGTAACAAGAAGAGTTGAGCTAACATTCCCAGATAACCCAAATAAAGCTTGCAGTAACTCTGCTTTCTCAGCTCTCAGTCATTTCATTTCCATCCTCTGCTTATCCCTGGGAAGGGTGATACCTGTTTACTATTAGGCCTACCTGTGGCTACTCAACACTCACTCTAGACTGTTGATACCCTGCACCTTTTCAAATTCCATGGAATTCCTTTCTGACTGAGCAGGTTGTGGCAAATGCTAGACCATCAACCTAAGTTAGTCTCATTTGTACAAAAGGTACCTCCTTTTCATCTCCCGTTTTTTCCCTTTAACTACATCTCATAAAGAATGAAAGACTAGTGGCTACCCACAAGCTCAAATCATATTTAGCCTCTATTTCCACCTTTTTCTTTCCAATGAGCTCAAATAGAAAAATTGTTGAGGATGGTGCGGGACCAAGCGGTGCTTTGTTTTGTTGTACGTGACGGCTGCTGTGCCTAACAGACCAACGCCATCTACTAGCAGTAGCTAGTCCAGGCCGGCTGTTAGAACTCAGGAAAGAAAGCTGTCTCTCTCAGGATCACACTAAACTTCATTTAGCAAACAGTTTGACTAATGACTGATTCTAAATGGATTTAGCTAATTTTCTTTGGTCAAAGCTAATGTGTTACTCTTGGTCTTCAAAAGAAGAACAAAACAAATAATATACAGATTTCTATGAAGATTTTAAAATATCAGGCTTTAGAATGTCTACGTTTGCAGTATATTTTATAATTGTTGTCATCATCACATTGAAAAGTACTTATTAAGCC